GCGATGGCCGCCGTTCGGCTCAAAAACAAGGTTCGGCTGCCCTCAGAGATAAACAAATTTCATCTTTTTGACGCTGGCGGTCGTAGCATTGTGCCGTTGTCCAATACAAATCTGTCGTGGGTAGCAAGTGCCACAAATTCGCGCCTAAACAAAAAGGAGAGTTTTTCTGTTATTCGCAAAAAAAACAAAGGCGTCCTTTGTTCCATCTTGATTTTCTTGTTAGTTAGTCTAGACTAGTTTATTATTTATTATATAGTTATAAATGATTTCCCTGTTTGATACCCTTCTAACGGTCCTTACGCAAGTTTTTGTTGCCGTACCGCCTATGCCCTTTTTTGTTTTTTGCTAAATAAGGTATCTGCAGAACACAGTTCAAACCATACATAATGCACAACGCCAAATCCAACTTCAAGAATATAAATTGCGCTTTGAAACCTGCTACAAAGCGCAACGCCAACGCTAGCGCCTAATCCAACTCCTTACTTAACCCAACCTTAAGTTTATAAATCCGGCTTAAAGTTTAAATCGAAAAAATTAAAACCCTTATGGTCTCCTGCTACGAGTTAACAGAAACTCTTTAGGCAAAATCATCGATTAAGTTCTCAGCTCCAGACTAGGTTAGATCGGCGCTTAAAGCAGATGCAAAAAATAAAAAATTGGCTTATTGAAACTTGTTCACTTTCAGTGAGCGACGACGCCTCTGTTGAAAAATCGTCGTCTAATGTCGATTCAATTAGCGAAAATTATGTAGCTGAAGTGGCCGTTAATATGGATGATGCCGAACCAACCGAAAACACAAACAAAGACGCACCGGAAGAAAATCCAAAACTAGCGGTGTTGTCCATTCAGGAATCTGTAGTGGAAAAGGATTATGATGAGCAAACCGCTAGCTCCAGTAACGAAAATATCGAAAGTATCATCAATGATGACAGTTTAAATTTTCCGGAAACTATCGAAAACAGTAAATCATCCGACTGCAAAGACGACCAGGTAATCTCGAAAGAGGAAGCACTTCAAGATCGAACTAAGAATGAAAATAAAAGTGAGACAAATGCCGCTGAATCAGTCGAAGTAAAAGAAGTGCAAAGACACAACTTAGATGAAACACCGAAAACGGATTCGGAAACAGAAACGGGTTCTAGTATCGGTTCTAATACGGTTAGTATCGATGAACTTGATCGACGCTCAGCTGCGGACAAAGCAACAGCACAATCCCCCAAAGCACAAAATGAAACCGCAGAAAAGGAAAAAGCTGAAACTACAACAGAAGATGTGGCTGAGTCAGCCAAGACCGTTAATAAGGATAATCAAGATTCGACCAAAAATGTTGAAGAATCTCAAAGCAATACAACATTATCACAAGATAAAAATGTTGATGACGAAGATCGAGG